ATATAGGGTTTGTGATCAAAAAAGTTCTGATCTTCCATTTATAGAACATTTTTTGTTTTAAAAGACCAATTTGGATGTTCAACCTTAAACAGTATGATCTAATTGTAAAAGGTTGTTACACTACCCCTAAAAATAAAGTAAAATAAGATTTAAAGACTCAAAGCTATAGTGGAGGATGTTTTTTTGTGAATGGGTCATCAAAATAAGTGGTCCTCCTAATTGTCAATCATTCTGGTGATATGTTTACATAGGGCTGTCCTATTCTGCTCGTCCCCATTTTCACTAACCGGTAGTGAGTCTGACATTGTGGAAAAATTGCAAATCTTCTTTTGGAAAGTAAGCTTGCATGAGGGATGCAAAAAGAGCGTGCACGGGGAGAAATGGGCTCGTGCATGCTCTCACACGTGTTTAATAGACGTTCCTTCTCGGAAGCGGGTACAGGGTGGAGAGGGCGGGTCTTCTCAAAAACTGGGGAAAATCGTCCTCTTAACCTTTAAGTACTGCATTTGACACAAATGATATTACTCGTGAGTACTTGAAGGCTTTGATCACACAATAGGCAAATACTGCCAGTATCGGATATTTTTACCTGCATGCAATCCATGTTATCATTGTATTCTCAGCATTCTGAATGATCCAATTCTGATATTTTTGCATACAAAAACTCTAAAATTGTGCCTTTTAACTACATTTGTAACCACCTGCAGTCTAAATCCTCATGTCACATTTCATCCAACTCTTACATCACTGCACTTATTCTGACACACATGCACCCAGATGTCCTTATAGAACTGGCACTCATCCAGAAAACACTATTGTGAACATTTTTGCTCGGCATTTTCTTACCCATTTTACTACTTGTTGGGTTATGATGTGCTTGTGATATTTCCGGCTCCCAGTGCTCAACAACTAAGTAATAACACAAAGACACCAGCATCCTTTCCTTCATCTGTAAACAGTGTGCTGCCCTGTGTTGTCCACATACTCCTTCTGTGGATGTGGGTCACTTTGACGTCATAAATAATTCGGATTGATCTCTTTCAGTTGCAATTAACTATAGAAAAAACACAAACTGATTTCAGCAAAAAGTTGTGATTGAGCATCAAGACTTACTGTAATATGCATATGGTATAGCTCAGTTTGTTCAGGTTTTTTACTTGGCTCATTTTTTTCTTATTTATTTTCTATTCTTCTGATAAATTCTATTTAAAAAACAGAGTAAACTGGTGAGTAATTGTTGCTCTAGATCCTGGCCTTTTGAGTCAAACAAAACGTAATATCTAATTGATAAAACCTGGGAAGTTTAATTTCAAACTTTCTCTCTTTTTTTTTTTTTTTTTTATTAAAAAAAGGCTTTTCTCTGTCCTTCATGACTTCAGTTATAGAAAAAAAAATGTATCAGTGGCCATATCTTCACTTTTTAATTTCCTCTTAGCAAATCATGTGAGCAACCTTTTTTTTAAATCTGAAATAAAGGGAAAACAAGTCTTAGACTGAGGCTGCAAAAGTACAAAGCGTTCTCTTTTTTCCTGGAATTTAGATGCGGAGAATAAATATCATATAGATGTGTATGTACAGAGCAAATGCCAGGATCCATTTTTCTTAAAAAGAAGTCTGGCTTAGAATCCAAAACTTCCACTATGAACAAATATATACTTTTATTCTGGTTTATGTAATTTTCACATCAACATTCAAAAAAGAATCTAAAGCTTCCAAGTTATTTCTGTAGCTATTTATTTGTAGCTAAAGCCATTTCTACACAGACTCCATACAAATAACACGTTTTAGCAGGATTTTACATAAGAAAATTATACGTGTTGAAAACGGAAACCTTTTTAAATCTCATGTAATCTTATCACCATAAAGAAGTTTAAGCAAGAGCCAATGCTTGGATAGGATACTCAGAAGTAGGACACTCAGTCACAAGAAGCCTGCAGATTACCCAACTTCCATGAAAAGTTCTGGTAACACAAAGCCATATCCTGTTCATTTAGTATATTTTGATGTTTTAAATCTATTCATACAAATTAACAAACCTAAATCTGACCCGTATTAAAAAAAGAATGATTTCTATGTGTGTGTATTTAAAATTTACAGCCCACTAATGTCTTCTCACTTTAGCAGTTTCAAAAAGACTCCTCTGTTAACAGGAATGGTAATGTGCTTAGTCCCTCATCTTAAGAGTCTTTTTAGGTCCTCATTTTCAGAAAAAAAGATAACATACTATTATATCACCCTGTTGAGAAGGGAGTCAACTTGGCAAATTCCTTTGCACAGAAATAAATAAAACAAGCAGAAGTTCCTCTAGCAAAAGTGAAAGCCTCTTTTTTCCCCCCCATTTTTCTTCAACCTCAAAAGCTGCTGTGCCTGGAAACAACTATCAGAGTGTCTCATTCATTGTCCATATGTATGTAAATGAGCATCACCTGGGGACCATTTTGGAGCAGTGGAGCTCTTATTTGATGCAATGTTGAAGTAACCACATCCTCTGTACTTTCCTCTCAGCATTTGCTCCCAAAACCTCCAGTCTGGGAGTGAGAGGAGAGCAGAAAAGAGTGAGGAGTTATTATTAACAGGAAGGGCATGTTGGTTCCTCCCTACACAGATGTGCAGAACTCCTGTCAAACAGGGTTTAATCTCTCTGTGTTCATGTCAGCTCCAGCTGCAGATCCGACAGGTCCATGTAACCCTTTAACCCACTTTACAGTGCCTTCCAGTAGTTTTCATACCCTTTGAACTTTTACATGTTTCGGATTGTTACAAGCGCAAATTGCTAAGTGTTTTATTAGGATTGTGTGTGAGAAATAAATGCAGAGTAGAGTAAAGCATGGTGGGGAAAAAAAGATGCAGTTTAAAATGCTTTGCAAAAAAAATAAAAATAAAATTGTCCGTACTGCAAAAATTATATTTGCCCTTATTTTAGACAAGATTTATCATGTATTTATACAGAAGATCTTTGGTGCTGCCCTTTTGATTTAACACATATTTTTAAACCAATACAAAGTTGTTCTGTCGACAAACAGAACATGTCTAATCTAATAAAAGTGCAGAAGCTTTAAAAGCAATATGAAAACAAAACAATGCATTATGACTTCCAGCGAATACCAAAATCTGCTATTTTAAAATAATATCCCAGGGTTTCTGTGGGTTATTAAAAGTCATTAAATTATTATTTTTTTAAATGAAGGCCTTAATTGGCATTAAAATTAATTAAATTTGATAATCGTGGCATTAAAATGCTTCGGAAAAGAAGCTTGAGGCAGAGAAAAGGCTAGAGAATGGGGAAAATGCAAATTTGAACCAAATTGGCTGGAAAACGAGGAAGTTGGGACATGGCAGCAGCCTGTCCATCGTGAAGATGGTGAAGGATTTTGCTGTGTGTGTGTGTATATATGTGTATATATATATGTATATAAGTCATGGGTATTTGTTGATGGCATTAAGATTATTTCTAAGAGCATTAAAAGAGCATTAAAAAGCATTAAATAAGAGTTAATCATTCATGTATAAACCCTGTCTCCATCATTCAGGTGTTTCTCTAACAGGTTTACTTTTTCAGTTACAACTCAGCACTGATTAGCTGTATATCAACATTATTTATAAGTAATTACTGACTTTTTTGGTTCGTTTATTGACAATAATGTCTTTTCTGAAAATAACAAAACAACAAACCTGGCAATTTTTCAGTGGCTTTATTTTTGTGTAACATTTTAATATTAAATGTTGAACAAATTGATAAAAAAAATGTTGGAAAAAGTGAGAAAATCAGTCGTTGTTTGCTGCTGGATAAAATAAGAAAAAACATATATATATTTTTTTGTTTCTCTTAAATGAAACCTTGTGAAAGTGGACCAAAGTTTGACTTTATAGCTGTGATTTGCACTGAACACTGATGTTTATGTGCCGTTGCACCCGTACTGGCCTGCTAATGTAGATGTGTGTGCTGGTTTGTTTTGCACTACTTTGCGTTGGTGTAGAAAACCCTAATAAAACATATTGAGGTTTGTTGTTGCAACATGACAAAAATGTTTAGTCGTTACAAATACTTCTGTGAGGCGCTGTGTATTCAGGAGTGCAACACGGGATCTTAAATTCTGCTCTGTTTTTATAGTTTTGTTGTCTGCGGTCAGTCATTGGTAACAAGAGAATGAGTGTGCACAGACCAAGAACAGGTTTAGACTTACAGAAAGAAGGCTTTGTCTTCTTGCCATGGTGGAGACTTTCAGGATTGTTTGTTTGAGGTATTGTGGCTATAAAAAGAAAACAACAATTTTGAGAGATGGGGTGAGATTAGAGGCTAACAGCTTCTGTTCGGTGGAAAAATGTGCCACTATCTAGTGGGAAAGCCCAGTGTAAGTATGCATCTAATGCACAATTACCAGCTGTTGTAATGTGCAGAAGATTAGAGGGTCTAAAGTGAGATTGTGTTGCATTAAAAGCAACAGCTTTTATGGAATATATACTTGAATACTTGATGGACAAGATTAATGGAATCCTACTTCTTTATGCTCCTCTTTTGTGCTCAGTTACACCACAGATTTGCTTATTGCAGGTTCTGAAGCTATATTGAGCACAATACCTGCTAAATCCCCCACAATCGCACAACCTCTTCAGCTTGAGCGTGTTGTCTTTGCAAACATTCCTCTCATTTCAACACTCCTAGTTGTTTCTGCTTATTACCTCTGTGTCATCTGTCCCCGAAGACCACCTATTAAGCAGTGTTTTGACATACAGTCACCATAGAAACCAAGCAAATGAAGTCATAGCAGCACAAGTGCACACTTTTTGTTAATCTTTGCTACATGTAAACTTTTCTTTCACATCATCAGCAACTGGTTTTTCTTTTACTGGAAAGGTGCCGTTTGTGAAACCACTGGGAAATTCTCCTGTAAAGTCAAACTATTCTTAATGATTATGATAAGGTTGACTTTGAACTTGTATTTTCTGTATTTATGAATTCAATCATGTTTAAGATGTCTGTTTTTATTATTTGCTTTCAGAGTGCTAAGAGCCTTCAGAGCAACAAGGATTCCCGCATCCTGTGGGCCAAAGACGAACTTTTACTGACCACAGGATTCGATACGGTGAGCTTTCACTACTTGCTTTCATTGTTTGTCTTCTTTTATGGGTATCAGCACTACATAGAGATTCAGCTAACTATGTTCAACTGAAATAATTAATGCTTTTATTTAACAGTAATGGAAAAATATGTTTGAAATTATTATTATTATCTAGGTACCACAAAAAAAACCCATTTTTTTTAATATGGCTCTGTCAGAACGTCCACCCTAACCCCTAGATCCCTCAATCACTATATAGAGCGGGGACTATACAGTGGACTTTATAGTGAACTCAGTTAACTGACCATTAGAAGAGATGGCCACTACTTTTCGCTCCCCTTTGGTCACATAACTCCGCCTCCCGCTTGGTGCCTGCGCCATCTTTGTTATTTGTGGTGACAGCGGACCACTGTGACAATAAATCCCATGATACTTTGCGAGGAGAGCTCTTGCAAAGCATTCTGGGATATATCTGATCGTCTAGTGTCCATAGATGATAGACTACTTTTTGATCCACTACACGTTCACTCATTTAAAATGGCGTAACCACTATATAGTGCTCCATATAGTGATAGGGCGGACGTTCGGACACAGACTATCACACTGCAGCCTGAAGTGACCCAAATCTAATTTTTTTGCCCATATGAGACCTGTATCTGATCTTTTCATGGCAGTCTGAACAACACAGATCTGATTTTTTCCAATCCGACCCAGGTCACTTGGCTAAGTGGTCCTGAATCCGATACAAATCTGATCTTTTCAAATGCAACCTGTGTCTAAACGGCCAGGTCAGATTCATCCAACCTGAACGTCATTAATACCCGATAAAGGTCACTATTCTGCATCTTGCTAGGCAGAAGCGGAAAGAAAAACAACAACCATGGCAGATGATGATGCAGAGAGCAGTATTTATAGCCCCATTTACACTACCCTTGAAAAACCGATCCAGGCCCAGACCGGTCCGAGCTTGGATCTGTAACCAGGCCAAGCTCAGTTTTGACGACCGTTCACACGTCACACTTATCTCGGTTATCTCGACTCCTCGCCTCCTAGTGACGATGTGCGGTATTACTGCTAGGATTGAAGGAGGGACTCAAGCAGCTGGTGGCGGTAATGCACCAAACGCTGTTTGTCAACCGCCGTAAAACCCAAGAAGAAGAAGACGAAGGAGGAGGGAATCAAGCAAATCAAAATGGCGGCGCCCGTCACATTCAGAAAGTTATGCTTGATTATTATTGCTGTACTTCCGTGTTTGCGGTGGGTCAGGCGAAGACGGCAACCTTGCGCGGATGTACTTGAATGGAGTGTGAATCGGCATGTTCAGCCAGTCGGCGATGACGCGTTCTGCTCATGCGCTCTTGTTATCAGAGAACCGAGCCAGGAAAAAACCGAGCCGAACCCACCTCGGGAACTGGTCTGCAGTTAGCGCGGTCCGGTTATGTCTATCTCGGTTCAGTTCAGGTTGTTTCCGTTCACACACGACAAGTTATCTCAGTTACTGAGCTCGGACCGGTCTCGGCTCAGTTTTTTAAGGGTAGTGTAAACGGGGTATTAGTTTAACTATATTGAAAAGATTGAGTTTTTATGGTTGTAAAAGACCGCTAGAGGAGCTCCAGCACTACCATCCACTTTTACTTTCGGAAACATAGAGCACCCTGGCCTGTGATGTCATTGCGTCCTCTACTGCACATGCAGGACACTTGTATTGTATGACTGCAGTTCACACAGGAGATCACATATAAGTCGCATATATTTGGAAATGTGAATGGCAACGTAAAAAACAAAATCGGATTTCACAAAAAAATCAGAATTGAGCATCAAGGCCTGCAGTGTGAACGTAGCCTATATCTTCTTTTTCACAAACATTTTAAGCTATTAAAAATCCAAAATGATATTTCTATAGACTTGGAATTTTATATAAAATCAACAGAGAATTATTTTACCTCAGAGATGTTATTTTATGGTCATATGAAGATCACTGTAATAATATAATTTACACATATTGTGAAGTGTAGAGAAAAACATTTTTTGTATTTGTTTATTATCACTAATCAAATCTCTCCAGTATAAATGCACATTAAACAAAGTGCAGCACCCAGACTGGACGTTGCTCATTGGTCAGTTGTCTTGTAAAAATGTGTCAGTGATTATTGAGGTAGCCATGTCACCTGCTGGTCTCCGTCCTCTGCTCTTATTAAGTCTAGCATCAGGCTCTCTATCAGCAAATATTAGCACTTACTGAGTGTCACTGCTGACAAACTTTATAGAGATGCTGTAGTCTAGCAATATGTAGCAATAAGTCTAGCAAGACTTCTGACCTTGTGGTTCTTTGAACATGGTGTTGATTTTTTTGATTAAATTGAGAAAACTCTCATTAGAATTTCTTAATCATTTTAATTACCAGGTTAATTTGGTTTATTTATTCACACTTGGCCCTTTTTACCTTTTGCTCATTGTTATTTAAGGAAAGCCACACCCTCAAAAGCATGAGCCCAGAAGAGCAGCATATTTTCTATAAGGGATAAGGAAGATCTCATCATTCATTTATTTATTCAGATTTGCAAGTTACCTACAGACCAGGCTCTGTTATGATGAATTGTTGTAGAATCCCGGTGAATTTCCTTACTTTTCTACATTTTTATTTAACCTCAGCCCATGATATACAATTCCTTATCTGCTTGGTGCAGAAGCTGGCAGAACCTTTTATTGCATTACAATTACTCTTCTGTGTGTCCAGTGGGATTTTTATGTCACAGATCAAATTATGCACGCATGTACAGTAAACTGGAAGAAAATGATGGCTTTTAATTTTTTTTTCTTTTTTTAACCATTAAAGTTATAAAAGCATTGCATGCTATTGAATCTAGCCCTCTGAGCCAAAACTTTATACAATCACCGATTAAGGCAGTTAAAGTCGTTGGCACTCTGCCTAAACCAGATTTGGACATTACTGACTGACATTTTAGCTCATTCCTTAAATAGCAATATTCAACTCTTAGCCCAGACACGGAAGATGGATTTAGGTCTGGCCTTTAATTGGCCCATTCTAGGAAAAAATAAAATAAAATGCTTTGAACAAAGCCAATCCACTGCAGCTCTGGTTTTATAGTTAAAGCTGTCCTTCTCGGAGGGTGAAACTTCTTCTGTCTCACATCTTTTGACCAGCTTCTTCTTTTCTAAAAAAATAAAACCTCCCAAAACAATAATGCTGCCACTTGCTGTCACCTTGTAGATGGTAGTTCCAGGACGATAAGACATATTGGTTTTCCTCTATAATGTAATATTGGTCAGATGGTTCAAGTTTGGCCTCATCTGTCATGAGCCAATTGTTCCCTGTGTTTCAAGCTAAGTGATTAACTTTTTATTCTAAGAATTTATAAACAACATAACTTGTAGTTTCTCTGTTGAAAGTCTATCCCTTCTCTGTTAGATTTCTACAGTGTCTACAGAGTTAACAAGAACATTGACTCTCCTACTGTGATGACAGCTCTCCTAGTCTGACCTCATTAATTTGTCATTATGACAGAGTGTTGACTGATTTGTCCTGGCATAAAGTGAATCATATTGAACATCCACTGTTTTACATATTCTATTCTAAGAAATGTTATCCTAGTAATACTTGATAATGAATCAAAACCCTCTTTAACTATAATTTCAGATAAATTAGTTTCATCAAATCAAAAATGAGTGCATGTCTTAATAGAGATAAAGATTTTTGCCTTTCCACTGACTCGGATGGTATTTCATTATTAACAAGCATTGTATACATGCTCTGTAAAGCATCTTCCTCACAGTGTTTACAGTCGATTTCTTTATTTTTTGGTGGGGAAGTGCAGATGCGAAACCGTGAGGTGAGACTTTGGGATAGCCGGAAGCTTTCCTCTTCAATCAGCTCGCTGTCGTTTGGCACCTCCAGTGGGTGAGTATCTTATCAGCAATATCCCCCTACAGCAGACGTGCAGTGTCAAAAGGCGAACCTAATTGCCCTTTAATGCTTATTTGTCAGCGAGAACATGTGTTGCTGCACAAACTGTGTCTCTGTGAACCATACAGACAGGATGTGTGTGTGGAATGTGCATACTTGAGTAGTATGCATGTGTATAAAATGCTATACGGTGGACCTTTACTCTGATATGATGCCGTGGTGACCTCCTAGAGTTATGACACCATCTTTCTACATTCTTGCCATTTCCTGGGTCTGGTTGAGCACACACTGACTCCTGTCATGTCTCAGTAAAGGGAACTGTGTTTGTGTGTGTGTGTATACAGCAGAGGGTCAGGAAACAGCAGCAGACTCCTAGACACTTCTCCCCTTTGTCATTTCTCCAGTCGCAAGGTTTATTTTTCCTCACGCGGCTGCCGAGGTCCGGAGGGTAGCAGGAGCGTGGCTGTGTTCCAGAGAAAGACACAGGGTCTGGGTGGAGAGGAGTCCTTTGTCAGTTCCAGTTCAAGCATTTAGTTCTGTTATAAACAGATTTGTGAGCCAAGTTTCTCCAAACTGGAGTTGACCAGATTTTTATCAGGTCTCGGAGCGTGCTGCGGTGGATTAAAGCGATTTGTGACAGCTATTACGGCCGTAAAAGAATTTGTAAATAAGCAGCACAAAGCGAACTCGTTGGCACCACTGGGAACATCTCAATCACATAATCTCAAACAAATTAGGACTAATTTTGGTTTCCTAGGTCCTTCCCTTATGCTTCTTCTCTTCAGCCCAGCTGACAGGTTTTCTGCTGGATTAGGGTCTCAGGGCTGAGTTGATCTGTCTAAAGAAGGTTGATTCTATCACATAATTCTTATCTCATTTGTTTTCTGCTTAAAACGCTCATCTTCACTTCCATCTGAATAAGTTCTGTTAGAGTTTAGTATTGTTTGTCTTTGAGGGTTGGACAGAAAAGCTTTTTTTCAGCACAAAGTCTGATTAACTTCCCGGTGTTGCTTGTCCATCAGCTGCTTTCACTGATGGAATTGCAACACGTTTGAGGACTAAATACTTTCGGAATCCACTTTGGTACTGGTCAAGGTTCTCAAAGCGGGTGAAAGTAAAGGTCACAAAGGTTCATTCATTCAATTCAATTCAGTTTATTTATATAGTGCCAATTCACAACACATGTCATCTCAAGGCACTTTACAGTTCACCAGATCATACAGTCATATTGATTCAAAGTTTTCTAACTAAGGACACTA